CACGTGTGGACCAGAAGAGTTTAAAAATTGATAATATTTTTCTTATGTGCCTACTCTCTTGCAAACAGTTTTCATTGAAAATGGCCTTCGGATTAGGATAGAAATTCATTATATAGCAAACAGGAACACAGGTGGGGTGGTCCAGGTTCGAAGCCGGGCGTAGACACGCGGATCGTTTCGTGCTAGAGGCGGCTAACGTCCGAAGCAGTGCTTTACGGCAGGTCCAATCTCATAAGAATCCAAACATTTGTAGGTAAGGTGGGAAAAATAGATATTTCTATACTATATTTTACATTGGGCATGTAAATTAAATTATGGCAAGAAGTAAAAATTCACTTTAAACTATACTATATAAGCGATATGACATCAAAAAGTAAATTAAAGGTTTTTCTAATTATTTAAATAAAAGATTTGTCATAGGCTAACACTTGCCTGGGTCGCCCAAGTAACGTTTCCCAACTTCTTTACCCCATTCAGCCTTCTGGTGCTTTTTTTTTTTGTCCTGGTTCGAAATAAATTTTCATTTAATTTACAACGTAGACATGCTGCTTTAAGCAACCAGTTTCGGCCTGTACTCTATTTGAACAATAAAAATCAAAATTGAGAGAATTCAGCCTTAGCAAAAATAAGGGGTAACACTGATAATAGGGTACGTGATGCTCTGTCTGAAAATAAGGAAATTAAGTATTTCGTGCAGCTTCATAATGTTACAACATCTAACAGATATGACGATGTTGATGCCCAGGCTGATAAACGTACGAGCGCTGTTTCGATGAAAAACGTATAAATCTGCTACTTAATTTCTTACCATTATATATTTACTTGAACCCCCTAGACGACCACTGAAATTGTTTCCAATTTTCAAATAACTTATGCAAAAGTATCTGTGGTGATACAAAGTATAAAATACTTCCACAATGGTTTCAGTAGGTTATACACAATAATCAGTGGGAAAATTTTGCATGGTAAAATTTATAGAGCTTCAGCGATCTTACGCTCGAACTGTTATCCCGCTCTGACTTTTCATTACCGTATATAACAATGGGATTAGTAATCTCATTAATTATACACTGCATGCATTACAATAAACAGGTGTTGGCCTACCTAATGTTGACGAGCATACCTCTCATGATGAGCATCGAAGGCTACTGTTGTTCGCAATTGTACGGCTTAAGTTCCTGTTAATCGGCCGAGAACAAGGTGAGTCCTAAAGATAGTGCGTTATCTAGAGGTCGCGGAACTCTCAGCTGACTGGAGCCCTCGTCTGAATGAGCATTGTATAACGGCAATGAAGTTGATTCCTCCATCGGAACTCATTTGCCTACTAAGATGAACAAATTGCAGAACGTAAGATAAGTGACAGATAGGCCAGACACCCCACCTTACAATGGCGCGTTTTTCAGCGACAGACGTTTTTAGATAAATGTATTGAGTTCTTGTTCTTTTTCTTTTACTAGTTGACAATCTGCGCCCACTAATCGAGTTCAACAACGGTGTTTTCTATCTTCCAGGATCTCTCATCACCCTTCCACCTATGCATCGGTACCAGTTCGCATCGTTTCATGGTGTTTGCTACAACCGTTGACCCGTTTCTTAGTGACCCGATATGTCTATAGCGTTATTGTGGGGAATATGAAACTTGATTCTATTTATGAGCTCGTTCATACCGGTCGGTGACGAGTAATAGATGAACGACGGCGAATGATGCCAAGAAAGTATGTCCGAAAATTTTGAATTGACTCTTAAATTCGACAGGGAGTCAGCCTAAGTCATTCTGTCAGAGGTCGATTCGGGGGGTTGGACTGGTGGTATTCATGCAAGATGCTTCTTCGCTGACTGATTTACGATGCCTGGATACTGACCTCTTCCCCCTGCAGCCAAAGGTGCGATGCGGGCGAACAGCAGATATCAAAAAAAAAAAAAAAAGTAACTGGAGCGGCCGATAGTTTTAAACAGAGGGACACACGTACACAGATCGGCCAGCGCTCACCAGTTAGTCAGAATCTAGTCAGAAGCAGAGACTATCGAAAGAAGACTACAAATCTCGTAAGGTTTCGTTCGGAGGTCCCACGATTCTTTCCTCCCGGTATCACACGGCGAAATGGTCGAACGTTGAGAGAGACAAAAGGGACGAGCGGCCGCTGCCAGCGGCGGTGGCGGCGGCGGCGACGACAACTAAAAAGAACAGGGCAGCAGAAGCATCAATAAATGCAACAATAACGTCAGCGGCAGCAGTAGTTTACGAAGAACCTTTTCGAGCTGAACCCTCCCGCCAGTCATCGAAGCAGTATCACACCTATTGTTTCTAAGGCAAATGCTGTCGAACACTTCAGGTACAGGCTTTTAGGACCGACTTTCCAGCCACGTTGTTCGCGAAAGGGGACACTTTTGACAGGATCCGTTGCCTATCTGTTGCATGTGTGCGAATAGAAAAATCTTTGTAAGTTAGGGGAGAAACAGCTTTACAGCCACGCAGAAATGGTCTTGCTATGCGCAGGTCCGTAGTACAACTGTAGGCCGTATTATAAAGCGTATGCGGGGCCTGCTCGAAGTGTTCTTGTGGCGTCGCAGCGAATGCATGGACCTAGGACCGATAATCAGAGACCAGGAGGATTAGCCTACATTTTTACATTCGATACGCATGGCTGCAACAGTGACTTACTTTAACGGAGAACATCAAACCAGCGCCATATTGGAGTGCAATCGTGAATACATTCACAACCAAATACTTCCAGTTCCCACACAATGTCTGAGTTGTAAACGGTGATCCGGATGCGGTGTGCGTCAAAAAAGCGTAAGATACGAATGCAGTGTTCAGGTCAGTGCTGATATGTGGACACTCTTCGTCATAACAACAGTGCTCTAAGTTAACAACAAAATCCAACAGTTCTATATTGTTGCTACACTGGTTCTCGAAAATGGACCCCCGCTGGAAGCGCCATGCAAAAGTCGCGTCGCGCTGGCTTCAAAAACTGGCAGCGTCTCCTTTCAAGCGCTCACGTATCGACCTAAGTACGTCGGTCGCCCCGGCAACTGTCGCACCACATTGAAGTCACGCTGCCACAACTAGAGCTGAATGGCGAGATTACGCACATGGGCTGTGAGGTCGTTCACCTTGGTAGGACTATTGCCGCTGTCCTAAGGATTCAGGCCAATAAAGTGCCGGACGCCGTATTCGCGGTATCGTATTTCGCTATAAGTCTGCCACTTACTCAATGAGCTCTCAGCATCGTTCAAACTGGGCAGAAGACGAGCACTTGCACTCGAACTTATTGTCACACATTGTCACCAATGGACCTGCTCGTTGTTAGTCAGCGGGGGCCAGGCTGTACGATGCGTTGCAGTAAGCCAGACCCAGATAGCAAAGCGAGACGGCCTGGTTATTCTCAGACAAAAAACACATCATTATTTTTGCCTGTTGAATGATATCTTGCTCCCCAGTATGTAGTGAGGCTGATCGCGGCTCGTTTCCATTTGTTTGGTGGAAATCAGCATCAGAAGCGGCCCGGCATTGAAACATGGCCAAATAGAGAAAAGGCTTGATATACAACGGGTTCGGCTGACCAAGACCAGCTGTATGCTACTGTTGATGTTCATTTTCGCAGAGGGAGTTTGCGTAACGGTGAAGGTCACCTCTGATCGACACAAATAACTTCGATGACATTCATCTTTCCGTAACCCAGGGGACATTCGCTGTTGTCAGGGCATCCATAATCACTAGCGTGGTTTTCATTCGGGAATGCCAGCTCACGATAGGTACTCAACTAGACACGTTCGCACCGAATTTGCTCAAGGTGGGCAACCAGGGCCCCGAACGAAGTCCAAGTTCATTATAATGGCCACATTTTTCTAGCCGGCGTCATAATATGCGCGCCATCACGGCAAACATTGGTGGCTGTGACGGCGGCCGTCGTTGCAATCGAGGCATCAGTAGCGTTTTTATTTGGTTACGCCTGAATCAACTTGCTTTATTTTGTCCCTGCGTGGCAACTCAACATCAGATCAAACTTACGCGGTGTCACACTCAGCCAATCTTGCAGTTAGCCATTGTTAAGTCAGCGTTGCTTATCCCAATAAAAGGTGCAATTTCGCCGAGTAGAAATGAAAAACTTGAGTCAGTATTGCCGTGAACGATAAGTCGCTATCGCTTCAGACGACAATTTTTGAGAGCCTTCACCAACAGAGCTACTACGACTGTCGGTGCGTCGCAAAGCCTCTGACAAGGCAACACGCTCTCGCAGGACGAAAAACACCACACATCAGTTAAGTGGACAAACGGCCAGGTGGACATACAGACAGACAGGCCGCTCGACCGACCAATCGATCGTCTGACTAGCTCCAATATTCAGACTCCGGTTAGCGGAACCTAGAGAGCAATTGCTATCTAGCTCCTATCCATGCGGGAAACGCATTTAGCGGCGACAGAGGCTACATCGCCTGGTCACTCCAAGCTCAAGCTTCGAGTTCGTTTACTGCGATTGTTGCTTTCGTATGCTGACTGTTCCTGTTTTTCCAAGTTCTGCCATTTCCGCTGCGACAGCTGCTGTTGGTACAGAACGGAGGACCGAATTCATAGAGCACGACGACTACTCATGGAAATGGAGCTATCGAAACGACGATGCCACGGTCGTACACCTCTCGCATCATCTATTGCCGCCGCTCGGAATCCCACAGACCGCCAAACAGAGTCGGCATGCCAGCGGCAGTAACACGGACAGCAGTGGCAGCCACGACGACGAGGACGCCGCCATGTTGGCCTGCTCATTATGTGGTCCGCCCATAGCGAAGCCAGAGCGGCCAGACAGCTGCTGCCTGGCGCGGCCGCCGACCGCGAACAGCCCGCGAACGACAGATCGAGCCACAGAGCAAACGAACGAATGAACAGGCAACGTACCCCTGCCTATCTGCCTTGAGCCTGGCTGTTCCTCAGTTTGACTCGTCCAGCCCGCACTCATCTAGCCAACCACTCATACATCTGACAGTTCCTGGGTAGGCATCGAGTAGAGGTGTGGACCGGTGGGAAGTCGCCGGCTGCCGCGGCTTCGTCAGCGGCTGAGTCGAGCTGAGCAAGAACGAGTCGCCATCAACATCAACGACTAATGCGCCAGCTATTGTTACTAACGCTACAACCGCGGACACTGTTGTCGTGGATGCATTTGTGCCAAACGAAGGGAGCACTGCTTGGCGACGCTCAGCCGACGCTGTTCTCAGCGCGGAGGGTCGGTTATAGCAGTAATAATAATAATAATAATTGTATATAATGGTAATAGGGTAATGATAGCATTCATAGTATCCAGCCCGTCATACAGCGGCGGCACCGAGTGCGTTCGGCACAATACAAGTGACGTTATGACAGCGCTAGGAACTGTGCTGAGCCCGTTTCTGTGGCAGGACTGCGCGCAGCGACAATTGTCGTCACCTACAGAAACTGACGCTATTGGTCGCGCTGCGACTGTGATATCGGCTGCTGTTGTGCAGGAACCATACGTCGATGTAGGTGATGTTGGTTATAGGCCGTAGACTTTAGGCCATAGGTATGATGGCTTGTCGATTTTCTGGTTCGTGACGCCATCTGATGTTCTGTGACACGGTGTTTGGGAGTTGTCGATGCAGTGGGAGCGTCCTTGGAATCCTGTCGACTGGTGCCGTCGTTACTGTGGCAATAGACGCGGCGAATAAAGCAGCTCATCTAGTGACGGTCGCTGAATGTCAGAGCCACTGATGGGATCCGATGGTAATAGTAATAGCAAGCCCCGGCGAACGCCCAGATCTAACGAAATGTCGCGTTTGGTCGTTTGCGCACTTCGTAGATAGTATTGCAGTTGCCACAGTTTCTCGTCTCGTCGATGTTCATTGGGCGACTGTCGCCCTGAGTCCTCCCGGGTACATCAGACTCGAGTGCTGGCTCAACGCTGTGTCATCTCGTTGATGCTCGTGAGGTGCGCCGTTGTCGCCATTCGTGTTTGCTGTTGGCTTGTGTTTGCGGGTTCACTTAAAGCAACTGAGTTCAAATTAGATTGAAGCTAGTCTGGACTTCGTGCGGATTCGTCCGATTTCGTCCGGGACTCGAAGGAAATCGGCGGCTGTGCTGCAAGCTCCAGCAAAATGGGTACGCCCCAAACGCCCAAGCACACGCTTGCTGACGAAAGCTACTAACCCGGCCGGGGACTTGCTGAGGCTCTGACTAAGGCAACTCTCATTATTGTCGGGAGCGGCGTCGTCGTTATTGTGCACTCCGTTGGGTCGCTGGGTCGCTAGCCGCTCGTTGCGTCGGCTCTTCCAGGAATTGAATAGCAAGACAGCGGCACCCCGCCCCGGTTGGGAAATTTTTAAACGAATCCCAAGTTGCTGCGTCTAGCTAGCATCGCTTCGGGTGCTCTGAGATCAGGACGCACGGCCTGGTACTTCACCGCTGCTGCTCCGCCGATGCTGCACTGTCATACGGCCGTTCCGGCTTATCCTGTTCAGGTCTGAGGATCGGCCATGTTCTCTTCGAGGCAGCATATAGTGACAGGGCGAAACGATGGTGCTTCGGCCTGCACGAAATGTGTATGGCTAGCGTCGACACGGATTTCAGACGACAAGATTAAAAACTTTGGCCTGCGTAGAATAGCCAGACAGAGCTCCAAAGTGCACAATATTGTGAATGGTTGTGTGTGCATATCGTTTGGAACTGACAGCATCTCACCATTGTATATCGAGCCAGGATAGATAAATGGCAGCAATCAAAAGTCAGCTCTGACGACGGCGAATTCAAGCAAGCTGCGGAAGAGACCGCTTACTTTATAATATTCTTATTTGAATGCGACTGCTTGCTAAACTATTGATATGGAAGTGGACACGGCGCTGCGACACTATCAATAAGTATTGGGCGGAAATACCTGGTAACAGCCCTTATTTAATCAAACCGTATGACATAAAGCCTGTTTTCCATTCAACATTATGGCTTTTTATGTCTATGTCTGCACATTCGACAAAAATCGATAGGGGAACCGTACAAATTTCTGTTCAAGAAGAATCATTTAGAAGGTCAATTATGCCAGTGATCATAGGCAGGTCCTTGTGTGACGTGTGGTGTGTCCTAGTACACCTGACTCAATTTAGGAGGTCACGGTATTTCCTGTTGACAGAAGAAAGTGTATTGTAATGTAAAATGTAGTTGCGTGACTGGATCCTACGGCACACCTACGGGAATTGTCTATCGAATGCGCCGAATTCAGTAAAGTTGTCCAGTTTCCTTAATACATCTCTCTGTCGTCAATCAAAAAAAAAGACGGTACTTAGCTTCCTGTCATACAGCCGTTTGGGTCGCAACGCGTCATCTACATACGCAGCACTGTTAAGCGCAAATGATCACCCATCCTTTTCATCAGATTTAGGTGCGTATTCTAAACGTGCCAGCTTTATAGTGGGCACAGGTATCAGGCGAATGTTTCTCATCGGATTTTCTCGAGGTCGCTCATGACGCTCCGTTGCTCTACCGAGCCGTCTACGGCATGTTTTCGCTGTTTCAACTATACTCTTGACATTGATTTGACACAGATCTAAAATGGCCAGGGGGTTGTTAAGCCTTCTTGCCGAACGTAGGAAGTAAGATGAATGAAATAGCAGTACATCCAATGACGCGTAGAGACCTAAGAAAAGTTGGCCTGAACTTTTTCCAACGTCAAGCACTAAAGTCGTGAAGCCGTGAGTTCCGTTCCGTAGACGTGGATGCACTTGGCAGTGAACATGTTGTGCGCGTGAAGTTATAGAATCTTGTTAAAACTTTTCGTCAACCAGGTCTTCCATTCCATTTTCAATTATATAACGATAATGATGAGAGCTGTGTCTATGCTAGATTATAGATAGGCGTTTTCACCTTATATCGAACCCATTGGCCTAGTTCTTTTCTATTAATGTTAGCCTTAACCTAAATTATTTAGCGTCGAACACCTTCGTATATTTTCCAGGCGACCATCCATTATTAATATCGTTACAAATATATTTGCAGGCAAAACGAATCTGTCAAACGCTGTGCAGCGGTAAGCGTGTACAGGCGAAAGTTCCCCCTTCTCTGTGAAGCTTTAACGGCATGAACTACTTCAATAAACGCGACGTCATCAATCGTTCAATGGAACATCAGCTATTTTGACATTAGTCAAACATTGGCTGCTCCTTGTCATTGTGAAATTTGCCTACTTAGAATGTATTAGAAATAAATCCATAGGAACACCTCTGCTGCATCGATAGGCTTATACATGAGTGCTTACTTTTGCGTTCAGATAAATAGAAAAAAAAATATATACATAGTTGAACAACGTCACTCAGTATAATAGTCAGTGCCGTTAGAATATCTAACGGACTTCACTATAATTACATAGTAACTATATACTAAATAAGTGATCATCAGCGGAGGGTAGAGGTGACGTTTCTAAGGTATTGAGTAGTGGCCAATAACAACTTTTGATCTTCCTAAGAAACAGCGCTTTGACGTCCGTTAGCAGAAGTGGGGTCCATAACTGGCTCCATCATACGGCCGTATATATAGTGTTTGTTGACATGTCGAAAGAAGCACGAGTCATCAACCAATACTGACTGAGCTCAATCCATTCCGCGAAACATTATATAGCCGCATATAGTACTCGCTCGGCTGATTTTATTATGAGCCATTGTTTCGAGTAAAACACTAGGACTTACCTACCGGCTGGTGTACTTATTACTTTGACGGAGTCGTTTTTTTTTTTTGTTTTTCTTCTTTCCCATAGCACATCACAATGAGCTTCAATCAAGGGGCGCGCTGCTGGACGAGAATAACAACAGTAGTTTGTCAGAAACTCGTCAAAGTTACATAAGACCTTTTTACATAAACATTACCTTTTCTGAGAATGTATAGTAATAGTAACTGTTTTACTCCCACATGTAAAACTGCACATATATAACTAGCGTTATTACATACCTATATGCATTGCACATAATAGTAAAAAATAATTAACATTACAGTGGTTTAACATTTGTAAATATTGCCTGTGACGTCCGATATCTTCGTAATCGTCATGCTAAAATTTATTTATATTGAATATACATCTGTAGTAACTTCATGACAAGATTCGTTAGTTCTAGCTCGAGAAATGTTCCCCAATAGAAAAGTCATTCAGATCAATTGCTTCCAACCGTTTACAGACCTCAATTTGCCTACACTGCATGACTACAATGTACTGCTGTTCATCCAAAAGCAAACTAACCGAGAGGTGAGAGTTGCAGCGGGGATTGACGAAGCCCGTCTACGAAGGGGCTCACGAAGATAACACTATATAATTAAAATTAATTTAAAAACGCTCCTGCTAGTCCTTGCAGTAACATATGCGTTCCTTTAACTACTCGTTCCCATAACTCGCTTTTGCAGTGTTCCGAGTCTTACGTCTTGCAGGGCCATCAGGCCGGGACACTTGCATAGATGTGGTGCCGTTTCTAAGCTGGTCTCGGTACAGCGCTATCCCGTGCACGCGCGTCATAATTCCGTAAGCCTAAGCTAGATCCTACAAAATCAGTGTTGTACCATATATATATCTGGCATGCGGTAGCGTTTTTATATAGGGTGTCACTTGTTCTAATAATGTAAGCGTCAGACAGAAATAAATTTGGAAAACGCTGAAAAGACAGTACATCAAACGTATAATTTGCCCCCACTGGGGCCGAACAGATAATTCGCTGTAGCAATTCGGGGCAAGCGCCTCTTATTATAGCTGATAATTCCTTCTTGTGCGTAAGCAACCGACAAGCGATCCTTTTTAAGCAACTGGATTTTGCCCTTTTCGGTTTTGGGCAAGTCGTCGAATTCATTACTGTATTTCACTGTTTTTTAGCCCCAAGCGAATTTCCGAAATCGGCGAGATCGCAGCTACAGCGTTAGCAGGCTAGAGCTGGCAATTCCAGAAACTGCTTTCCGTTTTTTTTTTCAAAATTAATACACTTATTATTAAAGAGTAAGACCATTTCAGGAAGGCACATCAGTCAGTCGATCCTCATCTTCCCGTTCTTTAGATCAGGACTGGAAGACAACGCGACTAGTGTGATCCGTGTTAAAATATCCATGGAAATCCCCCTACGCAGATGTAACCAATTTTAAGACATTATCGAGAAATACAGTCACTTAACTCTATATTGTCTGAGTTCTAGCAAGACCAATGTAAATTACATGGTCCTTGAGTGGAGCAAAAGTCCCACTTGTCATTACACTCCTGTACACCTTTATATATATTGCTGTTAGGGATTGAAGCCGATTTCACAGCCGTGATTTACGAGATGAGACAGATCAATAAGACTCATAGGGAACGCGTTATGACATCCATACGGCTATATTGGCTTATGGCCACGAGTATCGCATTTATCCATTCTCCTACCCAGTATCGTGTAGCTGATCGAAAAGTTTACTTTCCACAGTTTACTTTCTTTGTACAACTATCACTGCGCTAGTCGCCGGCAAGCACCAGGCGTAATATGCGTTCCCGGTTAGACGCTCTGTGTTGGGGACTGAAGTTAGACGCAGACGCTTCCGTACATGCTGCTGTTGAGTCCCCATGTTCATAGTAGCGTTCTTCGACTAAGTAAATGCTTATATTCAGTTTTGTCACGTTACTATGACGAAATATAGAGGGATATTTTGAATACGCAAAATTGTATTTTGGTGTCGCTCTCATCTCTGCCTGACAAGCAAAACATGGCCAGAGTATAGGCTATATTCCGCAAGTAAAAGTGGGCAACAAATGAAGTATTCTTTCAGATTTAATAGAATAAGTTCGTATCCAGTTTATGTCAGATGATTCGTTTGGGTCGTGACGCATGCTACCACTCCCCTTCCTGTTCAAATCCACATGTACCGTTCTCGTTTCAAATAGAAGATATAGATTTCCCCTATTACCTACTATCCCTCAAACAACGTAGGCAGACAAGAGAAGTAAGGGGGAAAAAATACTACTCGGGTTCTTTTTCACAGCGTCATAGATTTGTGTTAAAAGCAGTAATTCTAAAGTTGAAATCTTCAAACTGGCTAGCCAGTAAAAGATTTCTGGCAGCGCCATCTGGGTAAATAGTTTTCTTTACTAGCACAAAGGGCGACCGTATGCAATCTCGTGGCGGAACGTTGGCGCTCAGTCGAAACTTATATTACGCTAATTTTAGCGTATCCATCGGCTTCATCCTGTAAGTTCCTCTATAAAACTTCACATCTATGCCGATAACAGCACATAGTGTCAAAATGCTGCCTCGCATAGGCCAATCAGTCTGCTTCGCTCTAACCAGAAGCACGTCTGCCCATGGAAAGCCCAAAATGATAGACGGTATCTGATAAATAAGAACTTTATTACTGGGATGAGCTTCTATTTTAATTAGTCGTGTTAGGGTTCTACTTAGTAAATTTCGCAATTAGTTGCAACATTGAAATAATGAGTGTATCCGTGCGCTAGAAGCTGTAATATAGTTTTTTTTTTTTTTTTTTTTTTTTATATTTAAAGATAACGAGCTTACATAAAGAACGCATGTGCTGGAGTGTTTCACTGCTACCAAACTCAGGAAGACCGCGTTGACTTACGACATTGCTTTCTTCTACCTTGTTAGGCTTTAACAGATCCTTTCGGGTAGAATAGGCCAACGCTATTTTGTCCTATTCAACACCTGATGCTAATTAGTGCTCTATTATTCATTAAGTAAAGTTACTAGGAGGGTAACACATATCTGCAATGACATAGCCTGTTGCATAACGGCCGTATCATTTCAATGAACTGAGAATTCTTATCTAAAAATATATTTTGTAAGGCTAAATTTATTACGATACTATTTTAGTTACGAAGTATTAGTTAAGCCTAGCTTTCTTTCCTAGTAGGGTAAAGCATTTGGCCAATTCACTTATCCTGAGGATCCTTGGATTAAGTAGAAGCTGAGGCCAAGTCGTATCTTTGTCATGCATTTGGATCCGCCAACGTAGGCAAGAATAATTTATAGTTTACTTATTATTTTGGATAAAACATTTTATTCAAAAAGGACAAAATGGCCAGGGTTGAGTTTCTACATATTTAGACTATTGGAACATTTACTTCACTCTCTGCATTTCTTCTTATGCGAACTGTTCAAGCTCTTTTTTTTTTCAATGAAAGGTCCAGTATATCGACCGTATTGCCAGATCGGGGCGAATCTTCGATATGTTACGTAATAGATACGTACAATCATTAAGTGTCAACGAGTGGAGCTCGCAATAAAAACTGAGCCATTTTCGAACAGCCTGATTGTCTTCAGTATGAGTCGTTAAGAAACAACGAAACGTGTGTCTTTTGAAGTTCTTCACAACAATAGCCGTTTGATTCTGTGCGAGCTATGACGAGAATACGAGAAGGTCGTCACCCGGGGTCAAGCTGGATGTCCACTGACTCGTTTTCACTCTCGATTTTCGCGTAAAATGCTCATCGAAATTCAATTGCAGATATTGCGGTATTTCGAATTGCCCTGTCGAACCAATTGTCCATCAGGACATAAACTATGTCTGGGCCAATTTTAATCAGCGGCCTAAATTTTTTTTCTGCCCATCATAGCCGCTCAACGTTTCCAGCAGAACAGTGACATATCCCCATCCTTTGATCAAAGCAGAGTAGAAACATTAAACATGCTACGTACAGATAAATGGTTTTCATACATTGACCCAACGCACACCCGAGAAATTTCGATTTCTGTTTATAAAGCTCTAAAAGAGTCTATAAAGCGATTCTGTCTATATATATATATATATATATATGTAACTGCTGGTCCATCTTCGTTAAACCTTTACGGACAATATGATACCTACTAAATCAAAGTGTACAACAAGTTAGTGGGCCAATTCGGCTACCGCCCGAACTACTGATAAAATCGACTCGTCCTGTCGCTATGGTCGCCTGCCAACGGTGGGCTCCGCGCTGCTCATTGAGGCGCTATGGGGCGCTCGATGATTGGCCGCCTCCGCCGGCAGGGGAGTACGACTCGACCAATCACGGCTAAGCATCGCCGGGCTTTCATTGACGAAAGCTCACGCAGACGCAATGGATCATCGCGTTGAGTGCGCGCGAAATAACGAATGATGTAGCAGCAACAGCCATATATTCAGGAGTTACGGAGAGAAAAACAAAGGCAATAACTATAAAAATAAATAACCAAAGCTGTTGACATAGGCAGCAACAGTAGTAACAACAAACAGATTATTTGTAGAAGTTATCGACAAAAAGAGAAAGCTAAATAAAGAGAAAACGTCGTTGGAAGGAGACACAGCGTAGATATTTCTTACTTTCGGACAGCGGTTTTTAACGTCTGTTTATATATTTGTATATTTGTGTAAGTTATGTAACAGATACATCTATTCGGCATCTATAGGGTTATCTGGTGAGCGAATCTGAGGGGTGAGCGAGTGACGATGATGAGGTAGAGGGAGACGAAAACTGTTACATGTGCGTTGAAGGAATAACCTATGGCCGCCAGTATATAATATTGTATAAGATCGCTGTTATAAATAGAAAATAAGGTAAAAAAACTAACGGACTGCGTCAATAAACATTACATTAATGGATAAAGGAGCGACAACCCGAAACGTATGGCTTTAAATGAACAAAGATTAGTTTAAGTAACTGATGGCTAACTGGGTGATGGGTTGGCATTGTCTAAAAAAGTAACAGATATAGCCTT